GGTGGTTAGATAGCAGGAAGGACTTCCCAGGCTAGGAGACCTCTGCTGGGCTTCCTTGTTTCTGAGAGTAAGGCTAGAAGTGTAGATACTGTAACTGGACAGATGGAGGTTGGACTTCAAGGTAGGTAGGGGACTGGTTGTCTGCCAACTCTCATTGGTAGGAGTTCAATGCTGGGGCCTCCTTGCCCTCCCAAATGTCACCAGCTGCCCATGCTGGATTGGGTACCTTCTGACAAGCAGTTTTGAGCCCCAAGACTACTTTGAATCTAGGGACTGAGCCCTCAGAGGTCCCCTTTGTAGTCTGTGTCTGTTTTTCTGTCCCCGGCCACATCCTTCATTCCGCACTCTGGAGTGGGTCCTAGAAATGGGCATGGAGACAGGAGTAGAGGACAGCTCCCTGCCTTGCCACTCATGCCCAGCCATGGCCCCAAGGGGACTGGGGCCCCGGGCAGCAGGGCAGTGGGCAGCCGCTGGACCTCATCCTGGGAGCCTCGGCAGATCCCCCTTCCTCCTGACCTCACCCCATCCCTGCCTGGACCTGGACGGAGGGGACCCAGCTGGACCAAAGCTGTCCACTGTTGCCGGGGGTGTTTACATTCAGCAGTGCTTTGGCGGGGGGGGGGGGGGGGGGAGGAGATGGAACCAGGGGCTTCAGGGCCTGGGACACTGGGCTGGGGTCTCCGGGTGCCTTGGGGTCTGGGTGGGGTGGGAAGTGGGATCTGAAGGAATGAGGTCAGAGGCACTATGCAAATCCCATGCAAATGAGCGCCAGTGAGTCAGGCCGAGGCCTGCTGGGTGGGGCCCAAGGAGCACCTCGAGTTTCAGAACCAGCCCCACCAGTGTTTGACAGTGACCTTGGGCCAGACCACGACAGTGACCCTGGGAGGCCCTAAGCTCTGGGTCTGATTGGTGGTCCAGATGTGTGAGGGGACTGTGGTGGCCTGCGTGTCCCACCTGGTACTTGCCTTGGCCCACTGTGAGCCTTTGTGGTGCTTTGCAGCTGGTGGAGGGGCTCCCCTTTAGAACACGTCTTCCCGGCCTCCAGATTGCCCCCCCCCCCCCCCCCCCGCAGCTGGAGGACCTGTGTCACCTCTTGGGCTGTTCCTCTGTAAATGCACACAGTCCTCTTGGGCCTCTCCAAAGAGCACAGGGACAGTATGTCTGGCCTGGAACTCTACCTGCCCAGGCTCCTGGTCAGTAGGGTGCAGCCCATTCACTGGCTCAAGGTCACAGGGTGAGTTGGCGCCAGAGCAGGGACTAAAAGCCCAGCCCAGAGTCCCCACGTTTCCCTGGACTGTTCACCCCACCTCAGGACTCCATCTCCTGTTGCCCCCAAATACTTCCTGAGGTCAGTCTGGGGTTCTCTAGGAACTTTCTGGGGTGGGGGTGGGGGGAGGAGTAGATGGGAACCAGCCCAGAGGTCCCCAGGGGAGGTCAGAGCTAGGATGGGAGGTGCTGGAGCTGCTGCCTCCATAGGGAGCCGCACAGCCCCCTGCAGCACAGGAAGGATGAGAGCTAGACTACAGGAAGGACAAGCTGGGGTGGGGAAGCAGTGGAGGAGGCTCAGGAGACAGACCCTCAGTGGAGAGGCATCTCCTGGGCAGAGAACAGGATGACCCCATCCCGGGAGATTTTCCGGGGAGGAGAGGGTGGGAAGCCTGGGGTGGAGCGTGGAGAGTTGTCCAGCGGAAGCTGCGGGAGGGCTGCCCTCGCTCCCCACCCTGCGCTCCTCAGGTCAGTTCCTGTCCCTAGCGCCAAGGCGCAGGTGCCTGGGACCCGAGACTCCCCTGCCCCAGGCCCAGCTTTCTTGGACGGCCCTTTTTCAGCCCGCCCCCAGGTCCCCAGCCGGTGAGTTAAAATTAGCTCAGTGCCCAGGCTAAAAATAGCCCCTGCCCAGCCCTGAGGCTGCTGGGCGGGGGAGGAGTCCCTGAGGGAAGGGAAGATGGTGGGAACCAGGTCTTTGGGTAGAAGCCTGTCTGACCCAAGTTTATGGGTGGGGCTGGGGCCTGCCCTGGGCTGCGATCCTAGAAAAACTGGGGGGAGAGCAGCCCTCGGAGGGGGGGAGAGAAGGAGGGGAGGGAGGGCCGGGAGCGGGGTGGGGGGCAGGCTGTGCGGGGGCGTGAGAATCGGGCTGTATGGGGTGCGGGGGGTGGGGCAGTGGGACCTCGGGCTCTGCCTCCCTCAGGCTTCCCAGGGACGGTGCCCCCCTTCCTAGTGCATGCCCCCCTTCCTAGTGCACCACGGGAAGATGCCCCAGCCTCTGGCCTGGGCGGGGGAGTCAGGCCCACCCTGCGCCGGCACCCAGGGAGCGCAGGCTCAGGGGAGGCCGCCTGAGGCCCAGCGGGAATGGCTTCCAGGGCTTGAGCCTGGGCTCGCTCCCTGGGGGCTGGAGTTGGACAGCTGGTCCTGGGTGCTCCCTCTGCCTCCTCAGGACCCTTCTGCCCTTGGGAGATGGGCAGAGCGCAGATAGTCCTTCCCAGGGCTGAGTCTGGGCCTCAGCCAGGGCCCCAGGGCCCCTGGCCTCTGCTTTCCCTTGCCCAGGCGCCCCGCCCCGCCCTGGTCTACCTCTTGGCGGGACTGCAAGTTCTCAGAGGGCAGGGAGGGTGCCCGCTGCCTGGTGCCCAGGGACCAGAGTCTGAGCGGTGGCAGTGCTTGGCCTGACTCCTCCCACTCCGGAGCTCTGCGCCCACCCCTGCTCCCTGGCCGGCCCTGGCCAGCCCTCCACCGCGGCCCACTCTGCCTCCGGGCCTGCTGCTGCTGCTGCTCAGGCTCCTTTCCTGTGTCTGTGCGTCTGTCCCCTCTGCACCCCCGCCTCACCCACGCTCCTCCCTCGTTAGTGAGCAGGCTGCTGGAGGCCGCCTGACTGGGGGGTGACAGGTGGATGGGGTTGTCACCCCTCCCCCAGCCCTGCTGCTTATTTCATGCCCTGCAGCCCAGCCACAGGGAAGAGGCGGGCGGAGGGGTGACAGCTGTCTCCCGCCTCCTGCCTGCCCCTCCAGCTCGGTTCCCAGCCTCAAGCAGCCTGCGAGGGAGGGACAGGCCGCCTAATGAGCGCAGGTTGAGGCCCGGGGCTCTGTGAAGGGGCGCTGCCCAGCCTCTCTGGCGTGTGCTGCACTGGGCCTGCACCCCCAGGTCCTCTGAGCCCCCGGGACAGAGGGCCAGCCGGGATGGACCGGTCCAGGGAGAAGAGAGGGAGGCACTCCCCTGACAGCCAGGAAGGAGGAAGGTGGCCGTGGGAAAGGAGCCCTCGGGCCCTCCCTAAGGACAGCCCTGCTCAGCCCTGCGCAGCTGCAGCTCTGAGGGGGGCTGCCCTGACCGCTCCCCTCCCCGGCTGGCCCGGCCACCTCACACAGGAACCGAGATAGCATCATTCCGAAACCCGAGGATGGTTTGAATATTGCTCAGGTACCAAGAGGTGTCACTGGGAGGCAGGGCCTGCTGCTTCTCCATGTCCCCTCCAGACCAGGCACTGTACCTTGCAGTGTCCCTCATTTGCATATAAACATAACCACAGTTCCTATTGGGTCTTTAGCCCAGCTTGGGAAAATGGCTGCTGTCTGTGGGGTCCCCGCTGCTCTCGGGTCCCTTCAACTGCCCGCCTTGTCCGTTGTTGGGCTCCTGCCTCACCACCTCCTCTCTGTGTGCAGGGCCCCTCTGTAGCTGTCCTTCCCTCCCAGATCCGGGGCCAGCCCCACAGCCCTGTCCCCTGTGTTCCTCCTCCATCTCCATCAGGAAGGGCCACCCCACCCAGGAGGTCCACCCTGCCAGCCCTGCCCTGCCCTGCCCTGCCCTGCCCATTGAGTTGGTGAGTCAGAATCAGGCAGCCAGAGCCTTGAAGGGGCACTTCTCTGACAAGGATGGGCCAGCCAAAGGAGTCACAGCTGTGGCCTGAGGTCAGAATGGAGCAGGCCCTGGGCCTCAGCAGGAAGGCCACCTGCCCGACCTGGCCTCCCAAGGCCAGGGCTGCTCAGAGTGAAGGAGAAAGGGTGAGAGCAGGGCAGCCAGGGGCCATGGCTTCCTGGAGGGGAAGAGGAGTGGGCCAGCCCAGGCCGGGAGGAGAGCTCACATCTGGGGGACAGATGCCCGGGCCTCTGGCTGCTGGCAGTTGGTTAGGTAATTAGGCAGAGGGCTAATTAAGGAGGTCCAGGTGTTCATTAAAATCTTCCTAATGGGGTAGGAGGGAAGCTTGGGCAGGCTAGGCCTCCACACCTTGGCTGGGGTCAGTTTAGGGTCCTTTGAGCTCATGTAGGCCCCAGCCACCCTCTTTGAAAGTCATGGTTGAGTTTATGTTCTTGCCCTAGGGCTTTCAGAGAACCTGCAGTGAAGGGGAATCAGGTTAGTACAGACTGAGCCTGCTTTGTAGGAGGCCTTGTGGTTAGATAGGAGGAAGGACTGCCCAAGGCAGGGACATCTTCTCCTCTGGCAGTGTTGGCACAGAGGGGGAGCAGCAGTGGGGAAAGGGCCGTGGAATGTGTGGAATTATAAAAAGTGCTCTGAGCTGCCTTGGAGGGAGTGGGCTAGATGGGGCCTAGTCTTGTTGAACCCTGACTTCCCTCTGTCAGAGGATGCTCCTTGGGTCTCTGTGGCTTCTCTGCCTTTTCAGTCCTGATCCCTCTCTCATCCCAGCTCCCCCAGCATGAGGCGGGGGTGGGGGGGTGTAGGAGATCAGCCAGGGAGCTGGTTGCCAGGCAACAGTTGCCTGAGCAACCCCATCCTCTCCATCTCCATGTGCTCAGGGCTGCTCCTTAGAAGACTTTAGAGTCTCACCCGCTGCACCAGCCAACCCAAGGGTGGGGAGAGCGGAGGACTGAGGTGGCAGGGGGGTATTTGGAGGGTGAGTGGTGTCCAAACAAACGAGCTTCAAGGGCAGTCAGGAGAGGGACAAGTTCTAGCTGCACAGAGTGAGAGGAGCTCGACTTGCAGCAGGACTAATGGAGGTTAGACTGCAAGAAGGACTTCTCAAAGGGCCATGACGATGAGACAGTCTTGTCTTTTTGTAGGTGTTTCCTGAGCTCCTTACAGGGTCTAGAGTAATGAAAAGGACAGATGTAGTTCCTGCCCTCAGGAAGCTTCAGTCTCAGGGAAGCCAGGCATGAATCAGAAGCACAGAGTGTAACATTGACATCGTGGTGAGTGCTAGAGATACTGCATGAGTGGCTTTTTGGAGGATCATGAGAACAAAGAGGGTTCTCCCACTGTGGAGGAGGGGACAGAACTGGCCATAGTCTGCCAGAGGTTACATCTCAGCCAGCGCCTGCTCATGAACACAGGGTGGTCAGAGGGAGACCGGAGGGCAGGAGAGAAGGAAGGTGGGTGCAGGAGGACTGGGAACGTCCTGCCCTCGCCAGGCTGGGCCAGGAACCCTGGGCCTTGCTGCCCTCCCCTTCCCTGAAGCCCACTCCACCACGGCCTAGAAAGCACAGATTCACCGGGTCCCGTCGAGAAGCAGGGGCGCCGGAGTCCTGGGGCTGGAGTCCCGGCAGTGGGAGTTAGTGAGGAGTGGGGCGCCGGGGCCGGTGTCTGCTGGGCCACTCAGGGCTGTGGGCGGCGCACAGCAGAGACCAGGGCCTGCGGAACTCGGGTCTCCCCTTCTCTCGTGCAGTTTTGTTGCTCACCCCCACCTGCTTCAGCGTTCCCTCAGGTGCTTACGCGGCAGGCGGAGTGGGAGTTGTTCTAGACACATCGTGTGGCCTGCAAAGCCGAGATGTTTGACCCTTCATAGAAAAGATTCACTGGGGTCTTGGCCGGGGGCAAGAACACTTGCCTAGGAGGCCTAAAGCCTGGGTTTCACCCCCAGCACTGCCAAAAAACAGATTTTGGGGGGGTACCAGGGATTGAACTCAGGGGCACTCAACCACTGAGCCACATCCCCAGCCCTGTTTTTTATTTGATTGAGAGACGGGGTCTCACTGAGTTGCTTCGTGCCTTGCGGTTGCTGAGGCTGGCTTTGAACTCGCCATCCTCCTGCCTCAGCCTCCTGAGCTGCTGGGATTACAGGCGTGGGCCACTGCGCCTGGCCAAACAAATTCTTTTTAAATTTCTTTTTCTGCTGATCTCTTATGAGGAGTAGTGGTTGGTGGGTTTAAGCAGCAAAACCCTTTCTCCAAACAAAGGTTTTAGGCGCAGGTCTGCTGAATAAGTCAGACTGTCGTGGGGGCGTTCTGGCTGAAGGCAGGTGGTGGTGGGACCCCAGGACTTGGGGTTCCATGAGCTGGTGTAGGAACACTGCTGTAGACCTGTTCTAGTATGTTCTTGAACCAGGGGTACCAGAGACATCCCATCCTGGCATGAGGCACACCATGCTTGCTGGCCTTGGCAAGTGTCCCCTCTCAAGACTCCAGAAGGTGAACTGCTCTTCTGGGCCAGGGGGTCACTGGGGAGCAAGGCAGGCTCTGGAAAGCAGAGGGAGATACTGGTGTTCTCTAAGATCCAGACCCTGAGCAGCTACACGCTCCATGTCCTCTGCCTGACCGAGAGCAACATGACCATGCAGAAGAGCCTGGACCAGAGTCCTGGGCCCGGTGTGAGTCCCAGCCTGTGCCTGGTCTGGCAGACCATTGCCACAGGTAGCCAGCATGGCCTCATTTTGAGGACGGGGAGGAGACGATGCCAGCCTCTTGCAGGGGTGCTGTAAGCCTGGCTCATGTCCTCAAGGAGCGCATGGCTGAGCGTTGGGGCCTGACAGTGCTCTTGTGACTCTCCTCCCAGGAGGCCGTGCAGAAGGTGTCCTGCAGACCATGAACTGAGCTGGTTCCAGACGTTCATGAGCACAGTGTGAGGGGTGCCGAGACCCGCCACCCAGCAGCCTCTCCCTCCCTAGCACTGAGGACCTCCAGAGAAGATGGGGAGGAAAAAGATTCAGATTCAGCGAATCACTGATGAGCGGAACCGGCAGGTGAGGAAGTCCTGGAGCCCCAGAGTAGGCGAGGACCGGGAGCTGGCCCCCGCTCCACGTCCTCCCCGATCTTTGATGGGGGGCTTCTGGGAGAGGAAGAGCTCGGACAGAGGGGTGGGCTGAGTCAGGAGAAGAGCAGCCCCCACCTCCCTACAGCTGCGGGAACCTTGTGCCCCAGGAGGGCAGGCTCTGCTTTAACCAGATGGACCTGTGTCCCCACCCGGGCGCCATATGCAGGCTTCAGGCCACACCTGGACACTTCCAAACCCCAGAATGAATCCTTTCCCTCCTCTTATCCTAGGAGCCCTCTGCTTTTCCTTGTGACCTCTCCCTAGTCCCTAGCACAGAGGGGTAGAGGCCTGGCCGTCTAACCCTCTCCCCTGTGGTACCGAGGCTGCGACTCCATCTTGGCCACATGCTGGCCAGGTAACTGTCTTCCTCAGACTAGGAACTCCTGTGTCTTCCTGAAAATGGGAGCTCTGAGGGCAGTGGCTGTGTCCAGCTCATAGGCAGGGGTTCCTGGACTGAGCCAGCCCTGGACACCAGCTGCTCTCCTCCAGGTGACGTTCACCAAGCGGAAGTTCGGGCTGATGAAGAAGGCGTACGAGCTGAGCGTCCTGTGCGACTGTGAGATCGCCCTCATCATCTTCAACCACTCCAACAAGCTGTTCCAGTACGCCAGCACCGACATGGACAAGGTGCTGCTCAAGTACACCGAGTACAACGAGCCGCACGAGAGCCGCACCAACGCCGACATCATCGAGGTGGGCCTGTGGCGGGCACCGCCCGCAGCCTGTGTCCTCGCGCACACGCGCGGTGCCGCCCCAGAGCCCCTCAGTCTGCACACACGCGTTAACCCACATCCTGTCACACAAACCCGGCCCCGGGAAGGAGGAGGGGCAGTCCAGGTGGATGGCCAGCGCCTGGGCCCGGGCTGTCAGGTGTGCTGCCCACCGCGCTCCCAGGAGTCCCTTCCTGCGGCCAGCACGACAGGACTTCTGTCTGCTGCCTTCTCTTGTGCTCTCTTTCTGTCCCTGTCCCTTTTCTCCATCTTGTGGTCGGTTCCTGCATCTGACTCCCTTACTCATTTATTAATTTTTGTCTCCCCTTTGTTTCTTTCCTTCTCTGTCACTGTCCCTTAGTGGGCCCCTGTGGTTCTTTTTCTGTTTCAAAGAGAGCTGACCTTGTGAACTGTTGGAGGACACAAGCTTTCAAACTCAGCTTTGCCCTTTCTTGGCCATGTGGCCTCAGGCAGGTGGCTTGGCCTCCCTGAACCATGGTGTCCCCCTCCACAAAATGGGGCCAGAGCCTGCTTTGGAGGGTGCTGTGTGGACGGCACGAAGCAGCCCAGCTCCGGGTCTCACACTGGGTATGCACCGTGGGGTGCAGACTTGGGCTGAAGAGGAGGGCGCCCAGGAAGCTGTAGGCCTCAAATTCCTTCAGATTCAGAGATTGGGGGGAATTCTCTTTTTTTACATTAGAGAAGACAGATTTCAGACTAGAACATGAACTTTACATTCACTTTAGAAACAAGGCAAGTGTCCACAAAGGCATTTTGAGCACGTAGAGGGCAGCCTTGGGTCACGGCAAGTGCTTCCTCTTTGCTCAGGTCGCTGTGGTGATCCAGTTCCTGGGCCTGCTGTCCCCTCTTGGCTCTCCTGAGTCTCGCTTTCTCCCTCTCTGTCCCTACCTAAATTCTCTCTCCTCTCTTCTGAGCAGAGCCTGGGTTGGGATGGGCAGGGTCCCCTGACTTCACCTTCCCCTAGGAAGCTCTCAGTGCCCTCTGGCCAGGCCTCACCAGACAGGGCTGACCCAGGCCACTAGCCCCTCAGCCATCTCCCCTGAGTCTGCCCACGTGGGGCTCTGGAAGCACAGTGCTGGCCACACGCACTCCCCGGGTCAGGCGCTCCCACGTGGTCCCTGTGCTCTGCAGCCGCCCCCTGCTGTAGGTCTTCACATGGGCCTGGGGGCACGGGGTGGAGGGATGCCATGGGGTGGAGGCACGGGGAGGCGGGGGCCTGGGTGGCGCTGGGCACCCTGAGGAAGGAGGCTGGGTGAGCAGGGATCTTGGGGGGCCTGAAGGCTCCTAGGGAGGCCCGGAGGACCCTCACCCGCTGACCTAGTGGTGCGGTTACAGACCCTGAGGAAGAAGGGCTTCAACGGCTGCGACAGCCCAGAGCCCGACGGGGAGGACTCGCTGGAACAGAGCCCCCTGCTGGAGGACAAGTACCGGCGCGCCAGCGAGGAGCTGGACGGGCTCTTCCGGCGCTACGGGGTGAGCTGCACTCACTCTCTCTCTGTCGGCCCCCCCTCCGGCCCCTTCCCCCCAGGCGCTGCACAAGAAGCACAGGGAGTGTGAAAGCCCTGAGGTGGACGAGGTGTTTGCCCTGACCCCCCAGACGGAGGAGAAGTATAAAAAGATAGACGAGGAGTTTGATAGAATGATGCAGAGTTATAGACTGGCCGTGAGTAGTCGCATGGAGGGCCTCCCTGTGGTGCATGGTGTGGCTTCGCGCGGCCCTCGGCTGCCTCTGGGTGTTCTGCTCTGAGCCATGCTGGGGATAGCGGTGACCACTGAGGACCCTGCGACCTTGGTCAGGATAACCCCGTGACCTGTGCTGCGACTCATCTCAGATGGAGCATGAGCCAGAGAGGCATGGAGCGTCCCCCTTGCCAGCAAGAAACATGTAGATGACACGAGGTCCTTGAGGGAAAGGACAGTGCAGGGGGCTTGTTGTCCAGTCGTCTTGGGATGAACACCCTGGGGCTGCTCCGCAGCCCCCACCCAAGGCACTCAGCAGTGTTTAGGGCAGCAGAAGTGCTAAAGGGGCAGGCGCTGAGAGGGTAGACCCCTCTGCAGCAGGCTGGGTGGTGAGTGACTGCAGGAGAAGCAGGTTGGGACCGTGGCCCAGGCCTGGAAGGGCTGCGTGTGTGAACCTGGGTCTGTACCCAGGGCGGCTAACCTCCTCCCGTGTGATCTGCCTGGCTGAGGACTAACCTGCCTCCACTAGGGGTGTCCCTGGTCCATCTGCAGGGAACAGAACCGTAGTTTCATTCTCTGGGCCAGAGCTGGATCTCAGAGCACTCCCACCACCATCTGCCTTAGTAGGAGTGGCAGGCAGGACCTCAGGACGGCCGGGGGCAGAGAACTGGAGACTCTGACCCAAGAGCTCAGGAGACCCTTGCCTGTCCTCCCAGGCGGAGTGGGTCTGGGGAAAGGTGCTGACCTGGTCTGACCCTGCCCCTCCTTTTTCTGTCTAGTCAGCTGTCCCGGCCCCCAACTTTGCCATGCCTGTCACGGTGCCCGTGTCCAATCAGAGCTCACTGCAGTTCAGCAACCCCAGCGGCTCCCTGGTCACCCCTTCCCTGGTGACGTCGTCCCTCACAGACCCGCGGCTCTTGTCCCCCCAGCAGCCAGCACTACAGAGGAACAGCGTGTCTCCAGGCCTGCCTCAGCGGCCGGCCAGTGCGGGTGAGCAGACGGGTGGGGGCAGGAGGAGGTGCGAATGAGCTGCACAGGGGACTCTGGGATCCCAGTTTCAAAAGTGGGCCTGCCCTGTACCTACCACAGCATCCCGGTGTTTGTGTGGCCCCTGAGGGACGGGCCCAGGGTCCAGCACTCCTCAACAGCCCCCTTTGGTCAGTCCCCGGACCCCCCTGCCGGGGGAGTGCTGCCAGCTCACCCTGGTTCTGCTTCATTCCCCAGGGGCCATGCTCGGGGGAGACCTCAGCACTGCTAATGGAGCCTGCCCCAGCCCCGTGGGTGAGTACCACTGCCCTGCTTGGCACCGGGAGGCCTGATGCTTGCTCAGTGGCCAGGAGGGACCTAGATTAGGGGAGGAGCATCACAGGATGGTGGAGTCCCTGAAGGGGACGAGAGCGGGAGGATGTTTCTGCTGCTGGATTTTGGTGTCTGCGGCAGTGGGGTGGACGGCCAGCAGACGCAGAGCCAGGGAGTGCGGGCAGGCTGTGAGAACCAGCGTTTCTAGTTGGAGCAGAAAATCCAGGTCTTTCCTGTTGACTAGAGGGGTCTGATTGGGACCTGAGGACGGGGTGGCCTGGCCGTGCTTGGAGGAGCAGCAGGCAGAGACTTGCACACGCGTGTGCCCGGTCACACAGGGTCCACATGTTAGATGTACTTGTAGCCACAGAGGAAAGGCTGTCCCACCCCCAGCAGCCCATAGGCCCTCCTGTCTTGTGTCTTTGTCCAGCTGGGTGACTGTGACTTCTAATGTCACCATTGACGTCACCCTGACATTCCTGCCATTCTCAGAGTGATCCGGGAATTGGGACGGAGGCAGCAGTACACTTTGAGGGCAACAGCATGCTCTTAGGGGACAGAGCAAGGTGGCATTTCTGCCTGCAGTCACTGGTACATCCCTGAACCCCAGAGTCCCTGAGCTTGGCGTCGGCTCCCTCCTGGCAATAATCACGTATGGGGTCAGGAAGCTGGGTCAGTACCCCTCCCTGTCCAAGGAGAGGACCAGAGAAGTTCCCACAGACTTTGAGGGGAGAGCTGTACCCACTGGCCCTGGGGTCCATTGTGTGGGAAGCAGGTGAAAACCCTGCTTGGCCTCCCGCCAACTTTGTGGCCCCACAAGCCATTAGACACAGCCCTCTCTCCCGTGCTCAGGACCACCTATCTTTCAGGGTTAGCGTGAGGATTAAATGAGATAGCATGCCCGTTGTGGAGGGGAGCAAACGTGAAGGGTAGTTACCACTCTAACTGTGGTGGTGCTATGCCATCAGTCCCTCAGGGCCAGCAACACCGTCACCGCCCGTGAATGGCCTGTTTCCCCCAAGGCATGGGCAGCTTATCCTTTACCAGTCCAAGTCTCAGAGTCCCCAGCACACAGCAGAGAGCAGCCCAAATGGTTGGTGGTTAGCCCTGGTGACCAGGCTCCGCAGAGGCCTGGATCCCGCGTCGCCACCTGTCCCCCAGCCCCGTGGGTCCTGTGGGGGCAGGTTGGGGAGCCTTTGGAGATGACAGGAGAGAGCCGCAGGGAGAGGCTGAGCTGTGGGGTCTCTGCTGTCGCAGGGCAGTAGCAGTGGTCGCTTTCCCGGCGTGTCCTTGGTGCCCCCACCCCAGCCCTGTCACATGTGGCCTGGAGGCAGGAAGGGAACCCAGTGATTGAGGAGCAAGATGTCCTCTTCTTGTTCTGGGAAAGTGGTGGGGACGCAGGCAGCTTGGCATGGCTGGGGGGGTCCTGGCGGAAGGGGTCCTGGCGCGGGGAAGAGAGGACCACGGGGCCGGCCTGCCTGCCCTTCACCCTCACCTCCTCACTCCTCCAGGGAACGGCTATGTCAGTGCTCGGGCTTCCCCTGGCCTCCTCCCTGTGGCCAATGGCAATAGCCTAAACAAGGTCATCCCTGCCAAGTCTCCACCGCCGCCCACCCATAGCGCCCAGCTTGGAGCCCCCAGCCGCAAGCCTGACCTGCGGGTCATCACTTCCCAGGGAGGAAAGGGGTTAATGCATCACTTGGTAAGTGGGTGTCTGGGCCTTGGGCTGGAAGTGGGAGGCTGGGAGGAGGGAGAGAGCGGAGCTGAAGCAGGAGAGATAAAGGTTGGCCAGGAGGTAGGACTTCCCAAGAGAGATCATGTATGCATGGCTTTTTATGAGCTCTGTCTTCCCTGAGGATTATTTAAGAGGTTGGAGCATAGAGGTGCCAGGGTAAATAGGCAGTAGAAAGGACGGGGGCTGGGAGAGAAGGTTCTGTGATGGGGAAAGGGTCTCATGTGTAGCAGGAGGTTGCCGAGTAGATGGTGAGGGGTGTCCGAGCTGGTGGAGGCTGGGACAGAGCTCTGTCCTCCAGGGCTGGCCAGTGCCTGCTGTTAGGCAGGGAGGTGGGTGGGTGGTGTGGGGGAGGGGAGAGACCAGAGACTGAACCGTCCCTTTGGTTTTATTTCTGCTCCCAGACTGAGGACCATTTAGATCTGGTAAGTGAGGCCATGAGACTTTTGTGGTGCTTTGAATTCTGGGTCAGCCCACTCCTCTGGGTCCCAGCATGGAGCGCCCGTGTCTTGTCCTTTCCCTGGGTGTTCAGTGTGTGGTGTGGGTGTGGTTTTTGCCGTGCTTAGTGCACACCTGGCAACTGAGGCGAACGGGGTGGGGTGAGGGGCAGTCGTGCATGTGGGTGGACCTGTGTGTGTGTATGCAGGTGTGGTGCTGCATCAGACGACACGTACACACGCGTGTCTCTACACAGTGGAGTGAGGCCACCCTCAGGCCCCAGAGGCCTCAACCCCGAAGCCTGGTTAGGCCCTAGGATCCCCCTAGCCCTCTACTCTGCGTGGTCCACACAGCATTCTTGGAACCCAGGACAGGGACCCTGTGGGGGATGCCAGTGGACAGTGACATCGGTTTTCTAGGGGAAGCTGAAGCCTAGTGGGCTGGACACAGACATGCACGGCCACTCTCTTACACACTTGCATGCTCGCCCATGGCCAGGAGTGGGACAGGGGCTCCTCCTCCCAGCTCCCTGACGGGAGGCCAGAGACTGGAAAAGGCAGGCAGGCTCTGGCGGCCAGCACAGCGGCAGTTCCGGCCCCAGTGTGGAGTTGGAATAAACAAGTGACTCAGCGGCAGACGGCAGACAGCCCCACACGTGTGTGGTACACGCAGGCACACGCCACACCAGGCCGCGCGTCCCCTCCCAGATGCCGACGCGCCTCCCCAGGGCCGGTGCTGTAGTGCGATGGCTTTTGTCTCACTATTCCTGTCACTCTGCCCTAGGAGCCTGTGCCGGTGTTGGGGTCGCGGCCACAGGGCCAGTGTTGGGGCATCCTCTTCCTCTTTGCATGTGTGGGTGAGAGTGAAGCCAGTTGTGCATGTTTTTCTCCAGGGGTCTCAGTGTCTCTGTGATTGCACCAACTCGTGTTGGGGTACCTCTGGGTCCTCCATGCTGAGGCCCCACCTTGATCTTGGCCTCCTAAGGCAGCCCACCCGTCTGGCACCTCCTGACAGACATTTTCTCCTGCAGAACAATGCCCAGCGCCTCGGGGTCTCCCAGTCTACCCACTCGCTCACCACCCCAGTGGTCTCCGTGGCAACACCAAGTTTGCTCAGCCAGGGCCTCCCCTTCTCTTCCATGCCCACCGCCTACAACACAGGTGAGTGTCCACGTTACGTGTGTGCACTTGGCCTTGGAACAGACGAGTGACCAGAGAAGGAACATAGCTATGCTGGGAACCAGGGGTTGTGGCACATGCCTGTAATTCCAGTCACTCGAGAGGCTGAGACAAGAAGATCTCAAGATTAGAAAATAAATTAAAAAGGGCCTGCGGTTGTGACTCAGCAGTAGAGCACTCGTCTAGCACGTGCAAGGCCCTGGGTTCGATCCTCAAACACCACATAAAAATAAAAAAATAATAATAAAGGTGTGGTGTCCAACTACAACTAAAAATAAAATATTAAAGAAATAAATTAAAAGAGCCAGGGGTGTAGCTTAGTGGTAAAGCACCCTGGGTTCATCCAGTACCAAAAATAAATAAATAAATAAGCCAGGGAAGCCACAGTCTGAGGAAAGCTGTTGATTTGGGGGATTCCTCGTTTAATTATGGTTGCTTGATTGATTTGGTACAGAGATCTGAACCCAGGAGCACTGAACCACTGAGCCACACCCCAGCCCTTTTTTGTATTTTATTAGAGTCTCACTGAGTTGCTTAGGGCCTCACTAAGTTGCTGAGGCTGGCTTTGAACTCACCATCCTCCTGACTCAGCCTCTTGAGTTGCTGGGATTATAGGTGTGCACCACCATGCCCATGACGGCTGGATTTAGCAAATAAAAATGTAGAATACTGGCCAGTTGTGGTGGCACATGCCTATAACCCCAGCAACTAAGAAGGCTGAGGCAGGAGGATCACAGGTTCACGGCCAGACTGGGCAACTTAACCTGACCCTGTTCCGGGAGGACTCGGTGGTATAGCCCCTTGGCTCGGTCTCTAGCGTGAAGGGATGGGAGTTCACTCCAGGTGTCTGTCAGCCCTGTCCTTTGCCCACGCAGCTTCGCACATGCCCACTCCCACAGCTTTGAGGTGTCACCTTTAGGCCAGTCTCATCTCTGGGAGCATGGGTGGGGAGGCTCGCTCCTGGTGCACTGGGACTGAGGCCACCAAGCAGAGCTGGCTCCTTGAAGGCAGAGCGGCGGGGAGCAGGTGGCAGAGGGAAGCCCAGGCCATTGTTAGGAATCCCGCCGCAGTGGTTGCCTGTGGTCACCGTTCCCACAGTCTTGTGAAGCAAGAGGGCAGTTGGTTGTCGAGACCTGGGACAGGCGTTTAGCAGGCCAGTCTTGGGAACTGTTGTTGGTCACGGTGGGAAAGGCAGGTTCCACCCCGGACTTGCCCTTGGCTCTCAGGAACGTGCGCTGGGTTCCCACCTCCTCTCCGAAGGCAGCCTTCCTCGGCCTCTTGGTGCAGAGCGGCTAAGCCAGCTCGGCTGAGGGTCAGGTGTACCCAGGAGACCCTAGGCGTGTAAACAAGGACCCAGGGAGCACATGCTGCTCCCTTGGCACTGTTTACAATCCTGGCTCTGGTTCAGGTTGCGCTGGGGGTGATCTTGGTGGTGTCTGGGGCAAGAGGTGGGCCTGGTCCCTTGTTGACGCTGGCTGCAGAGGTCTGACTGTGGTGGCTCTTTGAGCGGGCCAAGCACTGCCTGGTGGCTGGGAGCTGAGCCTCCCAGTAGACAGGGCCGGAGTCTGTGAGGTAGGGCAGCACTGAGTTGGGTCTCTTATCATTTTCTCACTGAGGGACTTCCGGCAAGGGTTCGTGAACCAAGGGCTAGAAAAATCCAGTCAGTCCCGGAGCCCATTTTTGCCTTTGTTTGCTTTCTAAATACAGGCATCTCAAAACTGTGGCCAGTGTTAGGGACAAGCATGGACCACCTCTGGATGAGGTTCAGAGATCACAGAAAGTCCTGGGGTCTTGCCTGAACTCTGCCACTGGGCCAGTACCTCGGGTCTCAGGCTACAGTTGCCTCATTTGTAAAGTAATAGTAGGTGATCTTTGGAATACCCACCAGGTGCCGAGACACTCCTGTGTGCCTCCTGAGTGGCCACCCTCTGGTCCCGCAGGGCATGGTGCCGCTCGCCTGGGATCTCAGCGCTCTGGAGGCCGAGGCGGAAAGATTGCAAGTTCAAAGCCAGCCTCAGGAATTTAATGAGGCCCTAAGCAATTTAGCAAGACCCTGTCTCTAAATAAAAATATAGAAAGGGCTGGGGATATGGCTCAGTGGTTCAGTGCCCCAGGGTTCGATCCTGAATCCCCTCCTCCCACCCCCCCCCCAAAAAAAAAAAAAAAACCTCTCTGGTCCTCACAGCAGATGCTGTGTGCTTATTCTGGGTTGATTACTGCCTCCCGTTCATAGGCAGACAGGACGTCATCTGCCCAAGTTCTCAGGGCCTATAAGTGGAGATAGCCAGGAAGATTGGCCTCCTAGCAGTGTTGCAGAGGTGACACCATCTTCTCTGTATCAATGTGGCCGGAGCAGATGGCCTAGGACTCCCAGCAGAGGGCTGTAGTTCGGGTTGACTGGGGGACATGCCCCGCCTCCGACCCCCAGCCTGCCCTCCCCCGTCACAGTTTGGCATCTTTATGGTCCTCAGGGAAGACATTTTCTAAACTGTCCGAACAGGATGCAACGGGAAACATTGCGGGGCACTTCATGGTTGTGTTTGTTCTGTGGCAGTGCAAACATCATAGTGTCTTCACTGATCAAGCTAGATGTTTCAGAAAACCAGTGCCCCCAGGTGCAGCCTTGGCCTGACCCTGTGTCCGAGGCCCTGCACCCGAGTGCGAGGACTGGGAGCCAAGGTGCACCTTCCGCGTCTGTGGTGCAGTGCGGGCCCAGGCCCCTGCTGTTGGTGAAGGTCTCTACAGACTGCAGACTCCTGGGGCTGTGCAGAAGTGGGCATGGTGGCACATTTGCTTGCTGGGCCTCATGTGCCTAGGGTTCCCTGTGGGTCCCCACTGCCTCAGAAAGGCAGCTGGAGAGTCAGACAGGTAACGACAGACACAGTTGGACCTTCCCTGCTCACCTTTGTTCTCCTTGGCTTTTCCTTTTTATCATTGTCATCACAGAAGTGATACCTACACAGAATTTTTCTTTAAAAAAAATTTTCAACACTATTTTTAAAACCACCCGTCTTTTTTTTTTTAAAGAGAGAGTGAGAGAGAGAATTTTAATATTTATTTTTTAGTATCTGGCGGACACAACATCTTTGTTTGTATGTGGTGCTGAGGATCGAACCCGGGCCGCACGCATGCCAGGCGAGCGCGCTACCGCTTGAGCCACATCCCCAGCCCAAACCACCCGTCTTTTCAGCCTATGTTTTTTTAAAGCACCTCCTGTTATTATGACTGCCTTTCCCTGAGTGCCTCTCTGAACCCTTGGCGCTGGCCCTCAGCTCCCGTCCTGACCCTCCGCCTTCCCCCTGCAGATTACCAGTTGACCAGCGCAGAACTCTCCTCCCTCCCGGCCTTCAGCTCGCCTGGGGGGCTGTCGCTAGGCAACGTCACCGCCTGGCAACAGCCGCAGCAACCCCCGCAGCCCCCGCAGCCGCAGCCCCCGCAGCCCCAGCCGCAGCCCCCGCAGCCCCAGCCGCAGCAGCCCCAGCCGCCGCAGCCACCTCAGCAGCAGCCCCACCTGGTCCCCGTGTCTCTCGGCAACCTCATGTGAGTCCTCGCGAGACCTGCCGCGAGACCTGCCGTGGGTGCCTGGGGGTGAGGGGAGGGAGAGGGGGTCCTGCGGAGGGCCGCCTGTCCCCGCCTGTCCCTCGGTGGGTCTCCCGTGAAGCTCTGTTGGGTACCTTGTACCGGCCCAGGAGACTCCCTCTGGGCCCTGTCCCCCAGCCAGCCCCAGGCTGCAGAAGGTGACAGGATGAGAACTAAAGTGGCCTGTTTTATCTCCCCCCCTTCATTTTCTCTCCCTCTTCTCCCGCTCCCATTCTCTCTCCTGCTCTCTGTCTCTGTCTTCCCACTTGCCTGTCACTTACCCCTCTGTTTCTGGCCCCCCCACCCCATGCCCATTTCCTGCCTCCAGCCCGGGCAGCCCCTTGCCCCATGTGGGTGCTGCCCTCACGGTCACCACCCACCCGCACATCAGCATCAAGTCCGAGCCCGTGTCCCCCAGCCGCGAGCGCAGCCCCGCGCCTCCCCCTCCAGCTGTGTTCCCGGCCGCCGCCCGCCCTGAGCCTGGTGACGGTCTCAGCAGCCCAGCAGGGGGATCCTATGAGACGGGGGACCGGGACGACGGACGGGGGGACTTCGGGCCCACGCTGGGCCTGCTGCGCCCGGCCCCTGAGCCTGAGGCCGAGGGCTCCGCCGTGAAGAGGATGCGGCTCGACACCTGGGTACTGTAGCCTCGTCCCTCCTCCTGCACTGCCTGCTCCGCCCGCCAGGGGACGCCCCACATGCCCCCACTGTTTGCTCTCCCACTGGAGAGGCCTTGTGGCCGGCGCCGCCACCAGCCCTTTGGGGCGCACCAACAGCCCTCCTCCTCGCTGAAGCCCAGCCCCCCAGCATCAGACCTCTGCTCTACGCCCCCACAGCCGCCGCCCCATTCCTGGCCCGGGGAGAGGGGCGTGGGGTGCACCCGCAGCTGGCCACCCTCACACCCCTTCTCCATCTCCTCTCTCCGCAGACATTAAAGTGACGATTCCCTCTCCCCTCCTCAGCCTCCCCGATGAAGAGTTGACAATCTCACCGCCCACCCTGTCCTGGGCTCCTCCCGCTCGACCCCCACTTCCTTTCTGTGCTCCTGTGTCCTGTTGACGGTTACATTTGTGTATAATTATTATATTATTATTATTATTATTATTATATTTTTTTTAATTTGGATTCTGGCTTTGGAGAGAGGGATGCTCTCGTCCCTTCTTTCTCTCCCCCGCCATTTTCACTGGCGGGGGCTCTCTTTTTTTGCGGGAAGGGGGGGACACTTTGCACGTTGTACACATATGCTGCAGGAAGGGGGGCCCAGTAGGCCTTTGGGAAAGGACAGGTGCCGAGCCCTGCATTTGGAGCCCCCCGTGCCATGCCCCAGACAGAGGGAAAGAACCAAAAAACTACCATACAGCAAAACCCCACAGCAGGCTGGAGGCCGGGGGCTGCTGGTGTGTGTGGGGGGGCAGCAGGAGAGGCAGGGGCGCTCTGCTGGCTGCCACACGGCTCTGGGCACACGGGGCCCAAGCCTGGCCCCAAAATAACCGACATACACGACACCCTTTTGACTCTTGTGTGCTGCACCCCAAGGTCGTGGGTGGCAGCCGAGCTTCTGGGCTGGGAAGACTGCCTGGGAACCTGGGCGGGGACGGGGTAGAGGTGGCCTCTCTGGAAGCACATTTGAAGAGAGAGACCGAACCATGAGGAGAGGGGCTGAGGAGGGCCGAAGGGCTGGGCAGAGGGCGAAGGGGGGCCCTTTCCCTCCCCCGGCTTTTTCCTCTAAGATAAACAGTGCAATAGCTCCCCATCCCTCCGTTGACCCAGCCCTGTCCAGCTGGCCTCCGTGTGCAGGGAGACGTGTGGAGAGGACCTTTAGGGAGGTGGCTCCAGGACTGGGCAGAGTGGGGCCCTAGGCTTCCCCGGGGTGCCTGAGGGCAGGTATGGGGAGGGGACTTCCTCTGCCTTGCACGCTTCCCAAGGAGTGGACACTGGGATGGCCCAAGGGGTGGGAGGTCCCTACAGATGGGTTCCATCTAGAGGGCTCCTCCCGATCCCTCCTGGGTCCCCCGCCCTCCTCACCCCCTGCTCTTGGCACCCTCATTGTCTCGCTACCTCCTGTCCCACCACCTCCAGGCCTGTCCCACCGTCCCTCTTGGCTACTGTAATTGTAAATAGCAACCTTTGGAAACGTTAGCGGTGTAACAGTCCAGGAAACTGTTTTGTTGTTGTTGTTTTTGTTGTTGTACTGATATGAAATGAGATTCTATTTTTGTCAAAGTATATTGTAATAATAACGACTCAAAGGCCCGTACTGTACAGGCGAGATTCTTCTGCTGTTGTTCTTGCTCCCTCCTCTCCCGTCCCCTCCCGTCCCCTGCCCGGTGGCCTTGCTCCACTGCCTCCTCGGTGGGGCGGTGGCAAGGAGCCCAAGGGGCACTCAGAGCACGGGGTCCCGAGACCTAGGGCTGGACCAGAGCTCAGCCTGGAGGGGCAGCCCGGCCGTGTCCAGCACCACCTGCCCTCAGGGGTGCCGCCCCACTCCTCGCAAGTCCAGGTCCCGTGGGGTTTCCTCCGGTTGGAGAGTAGCCTTAGACCAGGCCCAGTTTTGTGGTAGATGACCCTCTTTGCCCCCCTGTGACCCAGCCTCTGCAGTATTCCCACACTTGACACAGGAAGGAACCAGTAGCAGAGAGGAGTGCGTGACCACACGTGACCTGAGTGTTCTTGAGGGCATCTGGTGTTTGTGTCTGAGTGCACCTTTGTGTTTGTGTGGGGGCGCATGACTGTGTGGGTGGCCTTTTGTGTGACGGAGTGCAGGGCGTCCCTGTGTCTGCGCTGGCTGTGTTCACAGTGGGACAGGTGGCTGCCCTGGCTTCTGGCTCTGGGACCCTCACTCCCTCTTCCACCGCTCTGTCCTCCGCTCTGGGATTGGGCAGCCGCCCCTTCGCTTCTCCCTGCGCCTACCTCTCCCGGGTTCCCTCCGGAGCCTGCGCCTCCACTCAGTCCCCACCTTGACACACGGCTTCCTTCAGGGAATTCCCGCGTTCAGAGCACAACTCCGGTTCTCTTCCCCCCAAGGCTCTCCCCCAGCCGAGCAGTGATCCCTCCTGACCCACAGCTTCACCCCACCTGCTGACCACAAGGATGTGGCACATCCAGCCCCCCAGCCACCCCACCCCCCACCCCCGCCACCCGAAGGTTCCCAGAGGGTGTTGCAAGAATCAAGGAACCTCTGTCAGGGCCTCAAAAGAAGCTAGGGTTATAGTCATGTACACATGTGCTCCCAGAGCCTTGCCCACGCCTGGCACACAGTAGGCACTCAGTAAATGCTGAATGGGTGAATGATAGGTGCTCAATAAACGTCGAATGACCTTCTCTTCTCAGGCTATTCCTTCCATCATCAGTCTGCCCACCTTTCTAGGTCAAGCTTGGCCACCATTCAATTCGGGCTGGGGTGAGGCCCCTGCAGTTCACGGTGCAATATTTAACCAGTTTTGCCTTCCGCCTCGGAAGGCCAAGCTGGATTTTGATTACCACGTGCGGATGTGTGTGTGTTCTTTCTTCTCTGTCCTTGGCAGTAGTGGGTGGGCTGTGAGTGAATATGTGACATTTCCATAATTCAATACCCCCAAGTTCTCTTGGGGACAGGGGCTCCTGGCCGGCCAGATATATGGGTCCCTGGGAACCCAGACCTCAAGTGGGACCTTTTCTTCCTTTCACAAGCCAAATTTGCCTCCACCCACTCCCTCTGAAAAACCGGGCACTTGCCAAAGTAACCACTGGAGTCATCCAAGGCCCCTCCCCTTCCCAGGTCTCCCACAGTTTTCAGGGACAGTGGGCAAGAGGACCGCCCTCACACCTCAGTGGAACAGCCTTTCCCCTCCCTGACACCGCACTCAGTGCAGGAGACTGATCCCGTCCCGCCCGCCTGCCCTCCTCACCTCGGACAGGAAGGAAGTAATGCACCTTCTCTTGCTAATTATTTATTTGTTTGGAGAGACAAATGATGTAAAAGTGTATCTAGAAATATCTATCTATATATTTTTAACTGACTCTTTGGAATCCCCTGGGGTAGGGGGATAGGCTCTCCCGGAGAGGGACAGAGCCTGGGAACTCTCCCGCCTCCTCTGCCTCTGGCCCCCTCTGCCCTGCAGCAGTTAGAGGCTCTGGGACCTGTAGGGGGCTGGGAGCTGATCCCTGGCAGTCCGGATCCTCTTCCTCATTCTGTCCCAGTTGAGAGGGAGGGGTAGAGACGAGGGAGGAAGGGAGGGGAGACCAGCCATGGAGGTGACCCACCCCCAAACCCGACAATCACCCACACTCCTGGGGCTCCTTCCGGGCCGGGCAGGGCGAGTCCAAGTGTGCGGCTGTTGGTTTGTTTTGGATATTTCTTTCGTGCTGTACGGTGATGCTTTCTTAGTATTCTACACAATAAGAAAAGACAGAAGTCCTCGAGATTCTTATGAGTTTTGTTTGAAAACTCTTTCACTATATTTGTTGTAAAGAGGTTTACTATTAAAAGAAAAAGAATACACGTTTCTGATACTCCGTCTTGGGCTTTGCTTTCTTTGGTGCGGCCGAGGGGGGGAGGAAGGGCTGGGGCAGCCCTGCCAGGGTTCGAGGCCCGAGCTTCACCTGTGGCGGAGGATGGTCGGGGGGGAGAGCACTTCCCCGTGTCCCTGAAGGATGTGCTCCAGGTGCTCTGCCAGGAGGAGTTAGCCCCAGGATGGGGGACAGGTTGTCTAGCTCGAAGGAAGCTTCAGGAGGGACCCTGGGACATCAGAGAAACCAAGCCACCCGAGGCCAGTCCAGCCCTCTGACTGCTGACTGACTCCTCGGCCGAAACCTGTCTGGCCACAGGAGCGGCCCAGGTGTGGTCCACCTTCGAGCTGCAGCCTCCCCCGCAGGGCCCTCTGCTCTTGGCTCAAGTGGGAGGACCTTGACAGTGCCAGGGAAACACTCCCTCTTCTCACAGGTCCCAAAGGCCCCCCCCATCTAGCGCCCCCCGCTGAGCCGAGCTGCCCCTGCCGTGCCCCCTCACCACAGCTGTGCCAGGGGCGGGAGGTGGCGAGTCGGTGGCAGTGTGTTGCGCTTGGCTTACTGCCGCCCCCCACCTGTGCTGGGTGCTGGCGTCGGGGTCCGGGGCAGAACACCCTCACAGATCACAGCACATGTTCAGGGACGTGGGCGCCGAAAATTCAGGCTGCAGCCCGCGCACAGGGAGTCAGGCAAGCACAGGAGTGCCCTTGTGGCTTGGGTTTCCTCATCTGCAAAATGCCTCCGTCTGTGCTGAGCCCTGTCATTACCTCATGATCTCCGTCAGCAGGACAGAGGGACAACAGAAACCAAGCAGGAAGTGTCCTCTAGGCCAGCTTCTGGAAGCAGCTTCCAAGATGACCTCTGCCTCCCCGCCTGGTATTCACACCTCTCTGGTCCCCTCCCACACGCATCTTGGTTGTCCTGTGTGGCCAGTGAAAGGCGGTGGGAGTGAAGCATGTGACTGCCAGGGCTAAGTCATGGCTCCTACTTGGGTCTCTTTCATCATTTGCCTTGGAGGAAGCCAGATGCCGTGTTGTGTGACCGCCCCCTGGAGAGGCCCATGTGGCAAGGAACCGAGGCCTCAGCCAGCTGCCATTCGAGAGAGTCATCTCTGCTCTTCAGTTCCCAGGCTTCACCGCACACGGCGACAGGCAAGGACTCCTTGGCACAACGTACACCCGCTCACCCATGTCCATGGAGAGAGGCCTTCCTCTAAGGTGACCAGAACAGTCCTGACCTAACATCCAAACCCTGAGCAAAACCCTTCTGTTCCATGCATCTCCTCTCTGGACCTCTGCCTCCGCGGCCTGCCGTTCCTTTCCCACAGGTGTAGCAGTATTCCTTTCCTCATGAGGTATGCCTGTTCTCCTTCCTGCGTTCCCCAGTCCCTGTGTAGTCAGTCACTGGACTAGTTCTGGGCAGCTTCTGAAGCGCAGCTGTCAGCTGGGTGCCTTGGTGCCTTGTAATCCCAGTGGCTTGGGAGGCTGAGGCAGGAGGACTTCAAGTAGAGGACAGCATCAGCAATTTAGCAGGGCCCTAAGCAACTTAGTGAAACCCTGTCTCAAAAAACTAAAAAGGGATGGGGGTGTAGCTCAGTGGTAAAGTGCTCTTGGGTTAAATCCTCAGCACCGAACAGAAAAACAAAACAAACAAACAAAAAGAAATGCAGCTGGCACCTGGTTCTCTAAGTGCTCTTCCCCTGTCATAGGAAGTGTGGAGTGCAACAAGATCAAAGCGGCCTGGATTGCTAAGTGGCCTTAAGGTGTTGTTCCACGCCAGGGAGGACTCTGTGTGAATAGAAAATAAGGGTGCTAAGTCACAGAGAGGGCAGCACTGTGTGTGCAGACAAGCTCCCTGTCCAACTGAGGCGGCACCCTTCTGCCTTGTGGACAGCCTGAAGCCCAGCTACCGACCGTGCCTCCCTCGTGGAGTGGCCCTCAGATCTCCAGACTTGGCACAGTTCACCTTCTACTTCGGCCACTTACAGCTGCGTGGCCTTCGCTAGTCACCATCTTCCTGGCTGCTGTTTCTGTACCACAGAGCTAACAGCTGTCTGCTTCCCAACCCCAGCCTGTCCTCCGGTCCATCTTCCCATCTTCCGCCCTGTTCTGATCATCTAACACCTGGCGGTTCTCAACTGCTCATCATATAAGATGCAGAGTCTCTAGTTCCCAAGGCTTTCAAAGAGCCAATGCAGAGCAGGGATGGTGGTACAGGTCTGTAATCCCAACAACTCAGGAGGCTGAGGCAGGAGGATCCCAAGTTCCAGGCCAGCCTCAGCAACTTAATTAAATCCTGTCTCAAAATAAAAATTAAATGGGCTGGGGAAGTAGCTCAGTTGGTAGAGTGCTTGCCTTGCATGCACAAAGCCCTGGGTTAAAAAATCAAAAACGTGCCGGGCTGCAGTGGCGCAGGCCTGTAACCCCAGCGGCTCGGGAGGCAGAGGCAAGAGGATCACAAGTTCAAAGCCAGCCTCAGCAATTTAGTAAGGCACTAAACAACTCAGTGAGACCCTGTGTCTAATAAAACAGAAAATAGGGCTGGAGATGTGGCTCAGTGGTCGAGTGCCCCTGAGTTTAATCCCAGGCACCAAAAAAAAAAAAAAAAAAAAAATTTATAAACAAGGACTATGGCTCAGTGGTAAAGCACCCAGTTGCAATTCCCAGTATTTTAAAAAAGTGGGGGAGAAAAAGCCAACCCAAATCCTCTTGCAGCCTTTATCTCTGCTTGTCCTGTACATTCTTGGACTCTAGGCATACCAGACCCCATTCCTTATG